AGTCATTCATGGACATATACACACTCATTGTCACATTTTTTTCTCTGTGATTTATCATAACATTTTGTGTATATTTCCTGTGCTATACAGTGTAATCTTGTTTATCTATTCTACAATTTTGAAATCCCAGTCTATCCCTTCCCACCCTTTACCCCCCTGGTAACCACAAGTCTGTATTCTCTGTCCATGAGTCTATTTATGTCCTGTATTTATGCTTTGTTTTTGTTTGTTTGTTTGTTTTTGTTTTTGTTTTTTAGATTCCACATATGAGCGATCTCATATGGTATTTTTCTTTCTCTTTCTGGCTTACTTCACTTAGAATGACATTCTCTAGGAGCATCCATGTTGCTGCAAATGGCATTATGTTGTCGGTTTTTATGGCTGAGTCCTGAGGCAATTCTAATGTGGCTAGTTGAATAGTGTTTGTAAATTACTGAACATGGCAACTTTTTTAAAAGGGAAAGAAACTTTTGCAAGAGGGCTGGAGAGATTGTATTTTCCATTATAAGGTATTGAGTTATTTTCAGTAGACATTTGAACCAGGAAACACATGGTTCAGGAAAGACCTCCCTTTGACATCATGTTCTTTGGTTGTAAGTCAGTGCAGAGAGTTTAATTCTATATTGTATATGGGTCAGGATGTTTTAAAAACAATACCTAAACCCTGAAAACAAATGGTCTTCTCATCAACTGATGAATCACTCTTACTAAAGATGGTTTACTGAGGCAAGGAAAGAAGTAGAAACAGGTGAGTTACGATATGTGGTCATAATGAAGTGTTATTATCTCAGCTAGAGTCAATAATAGCATAAAATTTCCAGATACAATGGGACTATTTAATGTGCGAAGAGGGTTTCTAGTTCAAGCATCTCGGTTCTTTTAAAAATTAAGGTAAAATTCACATAACAGAAGATGAACCATTTTAAAGTGAACTATTCAGTGGCATTTAGTACATTCACAATGCTGTGCAATCACCACCTCTATCTAGTTACAGAACATTTTCACCATTTCATTAGCCCAGAGAAAACACCATCCCCATTAAGCAGTTGCTCCCTATCCCCACTCCTACCCTCCAGCCCCTGGGGCTACCAATCTAGGGATTATTCTATTCTGGACAGTTCATATAAATGGAATCATATGTGACCTTTTGTGTCTGGCTTCTTTCACTTAGTATAATGTTTCTGAGATTCATCCATATTGTAGCATATGTAAGAACTTCATTCTTTTTCATAGCTGAGTAATATTTCATGGCATGTACATATCACAACTCATTTACTTATTCACCCATTGATGGACCTTTGAGCTGTTTCCACCTCCTGGCTATTGTGAATAGTACTGCTATGAACGTGTGTATACAGGTATTTGATGCCAGTTTTCAATTCTTGTAGGTATATACTTAGCAGTAGAGTTGCTGGGTCATATGATAACTCAACTGAGGAGCTGTAAAACTTGTATTTTCCACAGCAGCTGAAACATTTTACATTCCCACCAGCAACGTATGAGGGCTACAGTTTCCCTACATCTTTGCCAGCCTTGCTTATTTCCTATTTCATTCATCACAGCCATCTTAGTGGGTGTGAACTGGTACTTCACTGTGGTTTTGATTTGCATTTCTCTGATGACTAAAGACAGTGAACATCTTTTCACGTGCTTGGTGGCCATTTGTGTATCTTCTTCAGAGAACATTGAGGTTCTTTTGAAAGTAACTGTAAAGAAGTTAGTCAAGTTAATTGACTGTGGTTTTTAGACTGCTATTCTATATTTACAAGAATGATTTAGTTCTTAAAATTAGTAAGAAGCATTTCAAAGGCATCCTTAATTCATAATCTAAAAAATCATCTCAAGTTTCTTTTCCACAGATTCAAAACCTTCCATAGTCATATTCATGACATGGCTTATTCATCTCTCTGTCTCAAACACTCAGCAAAGTGGAAATAATATTTTTGTATGAATGGTCTCTCAATCAGCCAGTTTCTCATCATCTTTCTGCATTATTCACCAGGTTCTGCATCATTCTTAGTATATTAAGACATTGCACCTGACCCAAAGTAGCAGAGAAAATCTGAAGTCCTTTCAGTCTGTAAACACCCTATTCTCCCAGTGCTAGTAGCTCTGACAAGCTAGGTCCCCACAGTTCACCGAAGCTGGAATAAGGGATATCAAATTTTTCACATGCTATACTGATATTAAATCAAGGCACCAAAACACACATGAACACACCCACCCACCTACACACACAAGCCAGTTATAAACTGCATTAAAAGAAAATCCACACTGACTTGCTTTCCAATCTGTCCACATTTGTCTATCCAAATGATTATGGGCTAGAGAAAATACAGAAGAGGATTGCTGAGATGACATAAAGCTATAAATTGACTTGTCCCCATTCATCCCCTGGAACTGGCAGCATTAATGCAAAGAGAAGGGGTCTGGCCTCTACAAACCTGGTACTTGCTCTGGAAATGTAGGTGCCTTTTTATTTGTCAAGCTGCCCATCAGGGCTAGTTTAGTAGACATCGTATCTGCAGGGACTCTTCTAATCTGTCTCTACCACTAACTAGCTATGTCATCTCAGGCAAGTTTCTTAACCTTTCCGTGCCTTACTGTCTCTACTTATACATTAAGGATAATAGAATCTATTTCACAGGTTAAGTCTGAGGATTCTGTAAGCTGAAATATGTAATGTCCTTAGAACAGTGCCTGGCACACAGTAACTCTATATATCTTAGTGATTGTTGTTTTTATTATTAACTGGATGGATCTTACCTCTATGTTTATTATTTATAAGAATGGGACGTATCAATGATATATTACTGCTCTGGTAATTATATACAGTCAGAATCCCTGATCAATGGGAAAAAAAAGTAATAGAGGTTTTTGTTTCTGAAACATATTTTATAAAGAAACAGTTTTTGCAATAAGCCAAAGAAAAAAATCCTACCTATATCCAAGTATGTTATACTAAAACCTTGTTCCTTGGCGATTTCACTAAGCAGCTGGATATAATCTGTATTTGGAATACTGAGAAGGCTTCTTTTCAGTAAGTTGATCTTTTCACCAGGAGAATTCCTCAAGGAATGCCAAGTACATCCTAAAGAATGTCCTACCACATTTGTCTGAAAAACAGAGGTGAAGATTAAGACTCTTAACTTGGACTGGGTTCCAGTGCTATTATAAGTATGAATTAAGTACTCACATTTAATACTTTATAAAGCATGTTTAAATGGATTCCATTTAATTAACTTTCCAGTGTAACCCAGACAGCACTAACAAGTATACACATTTAACAAATACCACAATGCTAACAAAAAAAGAAAGGATGTGCAATAATATCCTGGAAGTATTTAAAAACATTTTTGTATAATAAAAAGTTCTCAGTCAAATTTTGTGAGGGTCACGTTAAAATGTGTAACATATTTAAGAGCACTATAAGCAAATCAGTAAATACTGTGGACCCTTGAACGACGTGGGGGTTAGGGGAGCTGACCCTCCCGGCAGTTAAGTCAGCCATCAGTATCCACGGTTCTGCATCCATGGATTCAACCAGCCATGGACCGCGCAGCACTGTAGTATTTACTACTGAAAAAAATCCACATATAAATGGACCCGAGCAGTTTAAACCTGTGCTGTTCAATGGTCAACTACAATTGAGTCTGCCTAATGGAGCAATTTACAAATTAGAATATAAATAAACTTTCTTATCTTTATGGTTTCTTGTACTAAATACCAATCTATCTGACGGCTGTAAAGCAGAAAACAAACTATAGGAAAGATGAGAACAAGTCATTCAAATGAATGGCAGGATGTAAAAAAAAAATTCTGATCAGACGTGTCTCAGAACCCAGATGAGTTCAGTTATTCCTGTTTTCTCTCTCCTTTTCCTCTTTTCTTTGTTTCCCCCATATCTTTACCTTTTCATTTCCATTGTTAGAATTCTTTACATTTCCATGTTAGTTTATGGTGCTTAAATTGCTTTCACATATGCTGTTAGAAAAGCCACAACTACTCTCTGAAATAAGTAGGTCAGCATATCCTTAGGTTCTATTTATCAATGAGCTTGACAGAGGTTAAGGGATTTTCAAAAGATCACAGGGATGGTCATGATAAAGAACTAAGTAAACTGCAAGATTTACTAAATAGAATTTTACGCTCCTTAACTTGAAAAAATACTCAAAAATCATAATTCATTCATATAGTAAAAGAATACCTGCAATAAGAACAAAAATATAATGAAGAGTCTCTTTCTTACCATTCTTTCCCCAGAGTTCTGCTCCATTCCCTAAAGATACTTGCTATGAAACATTTCTTCAGTATCCTTCCATAAATGTTCTATGCATATTTAAGTACACACATAAATATAATCTTTTTAAACAAAAAAAATGAGTTTTCTATATCTGGTATTGTTCATTTTTCTCGTATCACTGAACATATAAGCACTACATTTATCTTACCAGTCTCCAACTGTGGGCTTTAGGTTGTTTCTAGTTTCTTGCTTTTACTAACAATATTACAATGAAACTGTTTTGCACTTGGATGACTTTCTCTGCAATCATTTCTAGACGTAGAACTGCTGAGTCAAAGAACGTATGTTTTGAATTTTGATACACAATTCCAAACTGATTTCTGAACCAATTTATACTCCCATCAAGTGTCTTGGAGGGTGTGGTTTTCTCATACCTTTGCCAATACCAGGTATGGTCAAACTTTATAAGTTTGTCAATCTACAGATGAAAACTGTATCTTGTTCAACTTGCATGAATGAAGTTGAACATTTTTTTCACCATTTGTATTTCTTCTATTGGGTTGTCCTTTTTATTGATGTGTAAGCTTTATATGTGATAGTGAAAACAGTTCCTTCATAGTCATGTGTTGAAAACAGTTTCTTCTCACTTTGTTTTTATTGGTTTTATTTACCCACATTTTGCTGTGCAGTAGGTTTTATGTAGTTAAATTTATGAATTTTTTTATGTTACAGCTTCTAGGTTTTAAGTTATGCTTAAAAAAGCTTTCCCATGCTAAGAATTTTATTTTTTTCATTTTATTTTTTATTGAAGTATAGTTGATTTACAATGTGTTAGTTTCTGGTATTCAGCAAAGTGATTGTCATACATATATTTATGTGTGTGTGTATATATATTCTTCTTCAGATTCCTTTCCATTATGGTTATTACAGGATAGTGAATATAGTTCCCTGTGCAAATAGTAGGTCCTTGTTGTTTATCTATTTTATATATAGTAGTTTGTATCTGCTAATTCCAAACTTCTAATTTATCGCTCCCTAACCAGTTTGCCCCTTTGGTAACCATCAGTTTGTTTTCTATGTCTGTGGGTCTATTTCTGTTTTGTAAATAAGTTCATTAGTATCATATTTTAGATACCACATATAAGTGATAATATATGATATTTGTTTTCTCTGTCTTACTTCGCTTAGTATGATAATCTCTAGTCCATCCATGTTGCTACAAATGGCATCGTTTCTTTTTTATGGCTGCGTGGTATTCCATTCCACACCTTCTTTATCCATTCATCTGTTGATGGACATTTAGGTTGCTTCTATGTCTTGGCTATTGTAAATAGTGCTGCTGTGAACACTAGGGTGCATGTATCTTTTCAAATTAAGAGTTTTCTCTAGATATATGCCCAGGAGTGGGACTGCTGGATCGTATGGTAACTCTATTTTTAGTTTTTTAAGGAACAGAAATGGGTGTGTGTGTGTATTTCCCCTCCCAAAATGTGTCTGTAAATTGTTTCTACATCATTTGTTGAATAATCCATCCTCTCATCCATTTATTTGAAATCTCACTGTTGTCATATACTATGTTCCTACATGGATTCACATCTATACCTACCCTCTGTCTACTCCAGTACAAATACCTGTTTTAACTACATAGTTACATAGTACACTTACAGTACATTTTATTCTCTGGTGAGGTATAACCCCACCTCCCATACTCTTCCTTTTTAGTTTTCTTGCTTATTCTGGAGTTTATTTTTCCAGACAAACTTAATTGTAAGTTTTATCAATGTCCAAAATGAATTCTGGTAGATTTTGACTGAGACTATATTACATTTTTTAATATACTTACAATATTGAGTTTTCCTATCAAAAATAAAAAGACAGCTTTACATGTGTTCAATTTGTTTAATGTCTCAATTGAGTTTTAACGTTTTTCTCAAGTGAGTCCTGCACATTTTTTTAAGTTTATTTCCCAACACATTATCTTCTTTTCTACTATTAAGAATGGAAACTTCTATACTCCACCTGTTAATATTTGTAAATAGGAAAATTATTAAATTTTTCTAGCATACTTTTTCAGGACAGATATAAATGACCAATGTTATCAAGCTTCATAAATTTTATTAATCAAAGTAATATACACATACAACGAAAAAGATCAAATAGTAACAGAATTATAAAAGCAAAAATCCCCTTTCCAGAAGCAATAATTTTTAACTTTCTATTTTTAATTATTCTGGTGGTTGCCTTTGTAACTCTAAATAATATGAGAAAGGTATTGATTTTGACTATTAACTTTATGATCAGTTACCTTCATGAATTCTCTTATTATTTCTAATAGTTTTTCTCTCGGGTTTTATAGGGATACAATCATATTATTTGCAGTTAATGATCATTTTTATCTCTTATTTCTAATCTCTTGCTGTTTTCTCTTGTCTAATTATGTTGGTTGGTACTTCCAGAATAAGGTTTAAAAAAATGGTGTCAGTGAGCATCCTTGTTTTATTTCTGAAATTATGGGAATGGATATAATACATAACCATGATTTTGATTTTTTTTTTTGAGGTATATGTTTTAAAACACAATAGGGATATTTTAAGTGTTTATCAATAATGACTGTTAAATATCTTTTTGGCATCTACTGAGAGACTGTTCTTCTCCTTTGACCCATTAATATGATTAATTAGAGTAATAGATTTACCAACTTTGAAATATCCTTGCATTACTGAAGTAAATAAACCCTCTCTGTCTATGGAATATCTTTCTGTTAATGTTCTACTCAACATTAAAGTGTTTCACTATATGAGAGATTGATCCATAATTTGTTACACTGGGATTTACTATTGTCAGATTTTAGTGTCAGTGTTATGTTGGTTTTGGAAAATAAATGTAGAAGCTTCCTCTTTGTTATATATATTGCCTGAAAGAGTTTAAATAGCACTGAAAATATCTCTTCCTTGAAGAGTTAGTAGAATTCACCTGCAAACCTTTGTTTTGTGATTTTGGTGTCATCTCTGACCCAGTTTTAAAAGAAGTTAGTGCAATGTTATATTTTTCTATTAAGAAAATAAAACCAAAATTATATTACTTGTTCATGTATAGTCTTTTTTTCCTACAGAATGAGCCCTTATTTTATCATAAGCTTAGGATACTGCTGTAAACTTCAATTCTCACTTCCTACCTAACATAGTACTCTCAGATAATGTGCCATAAGACATACCTACCTATGAATACCAGAATCTCAAGTAAAGTATCATGTGTGGCCCATGATACTCTTAAACTCTGTTTATCCGTACCCTCAGCTGCCTACTCAGTATCTTCACTTAGCTACTCCACAAACACTTCAAATTCAATATATCCTACATTTAAGCTCATTATCTGCTCCCCCCTCAAATCCTACTCATTTTCTATGTTCCCTGTATTATTCAATGGTACCATCATCTATTCGGTTGCCAAGCTAAAAATGTTTATTCCTTCTTCTTTACTCTCTACAGCCAATCAATTACCATGCCCCATTCACTTCAGTTTTCTAAATAATTTTTAAATTGACCATTTCAACTGCCACTACCTTAGTCTAGGTCACCACTGTTTCTCATCTGCTTTCTGTAACTGTAGCAGGTCTCTTTGATTCCAGTATTCATTCACTCACCATAATGCAGCCAGTGATTTCCCTTCTAATATATAAATTAGATCCTGTCCTTCCCAGATTAAACTTATTTAATGACTTTGCACTACCCTCACGATAATGTTCAATCTCCTTAATATAGTAGTTCCTTCAAGATTCAATCCCTCTTTACCTTTCTAGCCTATTGTTTGAGACCCCCTCCCTCCAACTGTGTGCTCCAGCCATCCCGAACTACTTAGAGTTTCTAGCTCACGTGAAATGTTTCACTCCTGGGTCTTAGTACATGCTCTTTCTTCTCTCTGGAACTCTTTCCTGTTCTCATCCTAAGGTCTTGACTTAGATATTACTTCCTCCAAGAAGTCTTCCTGAAACCCCATCTTGGTTGAATCCTTCTTTTATGTTCCCAAGCACCTTCTGTAAGGACCAGTGTGTAGGGATCTTTTCTCTTTCAGTAGGCTGCAAACTCCTTTGGGCTCGAGATTTAATTCACTATATGCCAGTACCTGATAGAAAGCTTGGCACAAAATATGAGTTTCCCTAAATGTTTGCTGAGTGGATAAATGAATGGATGAACCAAGAGATGTGAACGCATTGTCAGTCTGAAGGTAAAAGTGGCACTACTGGCCCAGCATCTTTAGATACCATCACATTATTCTGAATTTGACTGTGCCTCCCAAGCCCTCTTACCTGGTCATGCCCGTGACCCTGGTTCACCTATAACATGCACCTAAAATTGGGGTACTGTATAAGTTAAGAGATTTTTAAACAATTAAGAGATTTTAAAAACTGCAACTCTAAAATATCGATACAAAAAGAAATCTAGAGAAGTTTCCTACAGCAAGAGATGCTTAATTGCATTAACATCATAGATCTCTGATCATAACTCACCAAAGAAATGTGGTTCTCTGGAGAAATATTACTGAATTTGGCAAGAAACTTCTCAGCAGCATTTCTCTTGGCTTGTTTTTTGATGCCCCCTTTCCTAAATGAAGAAAAAGGCAATGGTAGGTTTTGAAAATGTTAGCATCCACAGAGAATGACCAGATGTTTAAATTATTGTGTTTTATCAGAGAACAAGCCCATGGTTTTTGTACACTATTCTTTTACTGACCTAACATCTTAGTTTGTTATGCTTCATGCAGCTATGAATTCTTACATTTTGAAGGCATTTCTTTTAAAAGTTTATCTTTAATAATTATACTTTGTTTTCCTTTGACAGTTATATTTCCATAGGCCTAACTTTAATGAACCATATTTGATTTAATTCTGATCAAATATTCAAACTTACCAAGGTACATTTGAATTACAACTCCCATCTCTCAATGTCCTATAAACGGACAACTATGTGGAACTTCTTTCTCAACATGAATAAGAAGGGCACAGGAGATGCTGGAGTTGAAAGACACCATAAATAGCATCTACTTCCATGCTTGTGTTTTACAGATTTAAAAACTGAGGCCCAGGCAGGGAGATTAAACAATTTGCCTAATCTTGCAAATGAAGGGCTGCATCAGGAACGGAAGCCGAGGTTCCTGCTTATGGCCCAGTGCTTTCTGCACTGGCCAACACTACCTCTCCAGCACAAACAGTTGCTTATTACTTAAAACTAGTATCTAGCCAAGGTAAAATTCCATTTCAAGCCACTTTAAAAATGATAAAAACATGCTGGAGAAGTTACAATAGGAATCCTCACTAGCAACTATATTCAGTGACTTTTTTTTATCCCCCTCATAGCTTATAGCCTTTACAATATAGAAGATGCTATAACTCAAAAGGTTAACGTCTACTTTTTTTTTATCTCACTGCAATTTTTTGCCATCAGCCTCTCATTAATCATCTTGTTTTCAAATGTAATCTTCTCCTAGCCCTAGCTTCTAGAACAGCTGCTGAAACTATAAGAGTACTATTGCTTTTTTCTCCAAAGTGATTTTCAAGTTACTATTATATCAGTGAACACTGTTTAAAAAGTCAATTATTTATTTGCCTTTCCATTACCAACCCATTATTTGAAAAAACATCAAATTGACAAGTGTAAGTATTCTTAAACCAAATATTTATACTTAAATTCAACTGCAGAAAGTTAGAGACAGTAGACTTGGAGTGTGTCCATTTTTTCCCCCACAGAAACAGTTGAAAAGAAATCACAACAGAAATTTCTATGGTCATTCATCATCTGAAAATATTTCCAATGTCTTCAGTTGTATGAGGGTAAAAAGAAATAAGTACCAGTTTCCATGAATGACTCTAGCCTGCAAATTGTGGTATATTCTCTCTTATGAGCAGGTCCTCCCTCCTGGGAAAGGGTATATTCAGGAAGTCTCCAGCCATGATGAATAGCCAGTTCCTAGAAAATCGAGATGAGGCTTTAGTCGTAATATTCATTATGCAATGGCTCAATTACATAAAGGATATTTTCATGATTTGGATCCCAATTCTATTCATATGTTTGAAAAGAATAATAATATTCTACAATGAAAAAATGAGATAAGACCCTATATTTCCCAGAGATAGTCTCAGAATACCAAACTGAAGCAGTTTCCTGCTATGAATGGTGTTCTTCCATTAAGCCATAGTGAGCTGACCTCAAAGAGTTCAAGGGGAAAGACAAGCTACTTTCTCTTTCTTTGAGAACATCAGAAAGGACATCTATAGGTCATCAGTTCCTAAAGCATCTCCGGTCCTCGCTCTGACCTTCCAGACCCATGGCTGCCTAACTGTATTTGATCAAAAGCAGATGAGGAACAGACAGCAAACAAACACACTTGGACGAGGTTGAGGAAAGGAGAAGAAAACTACAGAAAAACCCATAGAGCAGGAAAGAGACCAAAGGACTGGCTGGATAACAGGGAGGGGAGTTGTCCAACAGAGCACATGGCTAATCTGCAAGAAGGATATTCTGCACGCAGAAATTCAAAGCTGAATATATGTAAATTTTTTGGTAGAATAAGCAAATAAGCAGACGACTTCCCCTTTTCTTGAGTTAGGTAACCCAATTTGGGTACTTTATAAAGTCTTCTGTCTCAACAGAAGTAGAAAGAGATTTGTCACAAGGGTGGCAAGAACCCAATTTGGGTACTTTATAAAGTCTTCTGTCTCAACAGAAGTAGAAAGAGATTTGTCACAAGGGTGGCAAGAAATATTCTCGAAATATGAAACACTCTACTCATGTGCACTGAGGTCCTGTTGATCTCAAATGACAATTCCACAAACCAAAGGCAGATACTGTATATGGAAGAAAATCCAAAATGTAAATAAGTATGAAAAGAATTTCAAGTTAGTGCTATAATATCTAATGATCATAACTTGGAAAACGATGTATTATGCCACCTTATCTTTAAAATATTAACTCCTTCTCTTGGCCCCTGTGATACTATCAAAATTTATGACACATTTTTTCAGTAGACAGAAAGTTAAGTATGGAAAAACTGTGCTGCTTACCTGTAGTGAACCAATAGGATTAAGCTGGTTCTTTGGTTGCTTCGAAGGGTCTGGCATTAAGGGGTCAGGAACTGCAAAGCTAAACATTTTTATAAAGTGTTATAAAACAAAATAATTTCCTCCAAATTATCAGATAAAGGACAGGCGTTTTCTACTTAGCTTTTGCTCTTGCCTTTCCTTCAACATGGAATGCCCTTCTTGCCCACAGCCTCTGTGAGAATCTGATCTATCCCTCATCCAAGGTGTATCTCAAATGCCACTTCTCTCAGGAGCCTCTTCTTTCACCCCAATGGACATAATTTTCCCCTTCTTTGAACCATTATAACATTTGGTTTGACCCTTTAAGTGAATTATTTTACCATAAGTTCTACACTCTTACATGTAATTTATCTGTCCTTCACCACACCTCTCCCCTGTTCAGACTTTAAAATCCTTATGTATTACTTACCTTCATAAGCCTTGCAGTGCTTTATATATAATATGTGCTCAATAAAAATGTAAATGAAGCATACCATTGTTAGCCTCCCCGAAAAGGGAAGAAGACTAACAGATCAGAAAATCCAGCCTGGCAATGTGAATCATAAGGATCATCAATGTAGCTTTTTCATCCAAATAATTATGGAAGAAAGACCTGGTTTGATCTATCATCTGCTCTATGCTAGAATAATCCTCCAAGGATTTATATATATCTCCTGCATGAAATAGATGGCTGGCATGAGTGGAGACTGTGATTAGTGAAAAAGATAACAATCTCCTCTAAGTAGTGTGAAATTACCAGTTACTTGGGTGATGAGTCCTGCATTCCGAGGTTACTACCACCCAGGCAGCTGAAGAGTCATTTCTTCCAGGACCAATGATATTGAGCTATTGCCATCTCCTCATGTTTCGTTTCTAACTGCCAGAATTTCAAGCTTTTATAGAGGGTGATAAGATATAAACATTGTATACCAAAGCTACCCAAATAATTGTGACGGAGAAGGGAGAAAGTCTCTATCAAATCAGGCCAACTTCAGCCTGATTTACAGCTTAATAATTCCCATCTTATTCAAGAAGCACAAATACATAGTAAAGCTTGTTAGCCTTTTTTTTTGGTGAGAAAGTGAAGTGTCCATGTGGAAGGAGGACACACTGGATGCTCATTTCTACAGATATACAAATACACTTTGGGTTGACCTTTGGGTTGCACAGAAATAGCATGACCATCACCAGCAATGGGAAAATCCAAAAACTGCCATGCCATTTGGCATGTCCAGAAAGTTAGCATGAATCAATTATAACGTGTGAACTTAGAGAATCAAGCATCATTTTGTGAGATTCAAGGCTTTCCCTGGTTGGTTCCAAACTACCTAGATGGTTTAGAATTACTTAGAAAAAGGGACCAACACTGCATGAGAACCTAATTACATCCCTAAGCCAAGTGTTGCTATGGCTGGGAAATAGAAAAACCCACCCTAAATGCCCATGGGCCTCTGCTGTCAGCTATGAGCAGATATACCAGATTGTACTCCAAGTATATTTGAGTACACATACAGAGAAGAATTTGAAGGCAAAACATGCTCCTGGATGTGCCCATTAGAAACCAAAGGACACCACTTTATGATACATGAGCTACCACAGGACCAACACTCTTTCCAAAAGCACCTAAAGTAATAACGAGTTTATTTTGGAAAGACAGTCAGCATATCTTAACATCCTCTTGTATTTGGCTTACATTCTATAACAAAAGGAAATCTCTTTGTCTCCTTCCAAATGAGAAATCCTAAAAGAGCACTTTTAGCTTATCTTTTTCTCTCTCACACCTTATTTTCTTCAGTGTGGAAATAAATACTTTACTGTATTTGCCAGAGACACTCTGGTTTTCTACTGTTGCATCATCTGAAAGGAGGAAAAAGAAAAGCCTAGTTCATGAGAGTCTTCATTTAACAGTTAATTGCTGGACTTAATTTCTTACAGATAAAGCTGTCCTTAGGGGATGGCAGGTCTTCACAAGGAAATAGGATTTCAGAACTAGACTAAGAACTTTCTACTTTGTTGCTTTTGTGAGCATGTTCAAACTTTTAATCTTACCTCAGCCATGATATTTTTGAGCTGCAGAATACAAAGAAATTTAGCTCACCAAATACTTGCATTGGCTTTCAAAATGTTTATGGCAGCCTCTGCAGCTCTATGTTTCGCCAGCTTCTTACTTGTACCTTCACCTGAATTAAGGTTAAAAAAAATAAGTCTTTATATGCTGTGAAAATGTGGGGCTTGTGTAAATGTTTGCATAATAGAGAACAAAGCCACTACACATTATATATATACACACTAGGTAATAAAAAAATACACTATAAACAGTTATACAGTGTAATAAAATATTCACCATATGGAATCAACACATTTTAAAACCCCATGATTTTAAAAGATCTAGGTATTTAATTCTATGTATACCTGTAGAAAAAAATCCTTATGTGTACACTGTACATGTTTATTACATTAAATGATAATAAAGTAGACCATGTCACACCTTCTGAAGAAATACAACTTAGTATTTTATTCTTCCTTATTCCTAGAGAGGAAATTCTGTAGCAAGAAGTTTCCTTTAAAGGAGCCACTTACAGCAACACTGTTTGACAGCAAATTGTACACAATTTTATTCTAACAGCCCCTCCTATACTGGATTAAACCCCTCTGCTCTGCAAAGCTATCATGGCTACATGCTGGGTACAGAGGGGGAAGGTTTATATAGGGAAGATGACATTATATTATGCATCTTCCATACAATCTCTATCCCTTACATGGGTAGCTAAGGGGGCAGAAGGGAACAGGCCTGACTAATCACTGAGATAGATGGCTAATGTCAGTGAGCAACCACACAAGTAACTGTAAATTCAATCTTCTTCCTTCTGAGTTCAAACTAGGTGTTGAGAACCCTTCCAAAGTGGTATCAGAATGCTGATGTCTATTCCTCTGGTGCAGAGGGAAGAAAAGGGACATGGAATAAATTTCAGGTGTGGCCCTCAAGTGTTAGAGAACACACAAACCATCCTCATTTATTCACTAAACAGGTATTAGGGATATACAGTTGACCCTTGAACAACATGGGAGTTAGGGGCAGCAACCCTCTGTGCTTTTGAAAATTCACCTGTAACTTATAGTCAGCTCTCTATCTGTGGTTCCTCCATTTTCAGCTTCCTCAGTAACCACAGTAACCACATTCAACCAACCATGGATGGTGTGGTACTGTAGTATTTACTACTAAAAAAGATCCAAGTATAAGTGGACCTATGTAATTCAAACACGTGCTGTTCAAGGGTCAACTGTGGTAGAGAACCAGAGTCCCTGCCTTTAAAGAGCATACAGCCTAGCGTGCGAGATTTGCCTCTAACACCCATCTGCAATAAGGAATATTTCGGTAGGCCTACGTGCAGGTTGTAGGGTTGCCCAAGCGAGAGGTAGCTCTTGGTAAGAATTCAGAAAGGTTTCATGAAGGCGGAGCAAGGACCTGAAAGATCAGTAAAAATGAGTGAGGTGAAGAGGGATGGGGGATTAGGAAGAGCACTGTAGGAAGAGAAAAGGGCACCTGCAAAGACTCAGAGGCAACATGGGGCACGGCGTCCTCAAGCCCCAAGATGCTGGGTGCAGTAGGGCCTGAGGAAAGGAATTTTGAGATAAAAGGCTAGAGAGGTGAATGGTTGGAGAAGTCAAAGAATGGTCTCCTAAATTTGTGCATCTCAAACTTTAGGAATTGCCTGGGAATTTTGTTAGAAAACATACTCTTATCCAGTAAGTCTATTCTGCACTTATTTCAAGCGTCCAGGTTGATATTAATGCTGCTGTCAGTCATACTTTCAGGTGTTAACTCATGTTAAGAAATCTGTATTCACCTAGAGGGTGTTGGGGAAACCACTGAATAGATTTTAAGAAGAGGAAGTACATGAACAGATATGAATGCCAGAAAGAACAGTCTGGTTGTTGTGTGGACACCGTAAGACTAGAAGCTAAAAGAGCAGCTACAAGACTGTAGCTATAATCCAAGTGGCTCCAACAGTAGCAATGGGAAGATGAGAGGGGCAGACAGATTCAAGAGATTTAGGAAGCAGGATTTGGTGGCAAACTGGACAACAGGTGGAAGGAGGGGAAGGACTCAAAAAGACAAAACCCAATTTCTACTGTGAGCAAATGGGTGATGGTGGTGCCTTTACTGAGCTAGGGAATGCAGGGGGAATGGATCTGAGAGAGAAAAAGATGGATTCAGTTTAGGACAATGAGAAACTGAGGCGTCTTTGGGTCATCCATGTGAAGATGCCCAGCAAGCACAGGCTGAAACACTGTTCTATCACTGAGCCTGAACTGAAGACAGAGACTTTAGAATTACCAGTGTTTAGGCAGTATTTGAATTTGTGGAGGTAGGTAAGCATACACAGGAAGATAGGGCAGTGTGGGGAAAAGTAGGAGGCCTAGGCAGCTGCCACAGGTTGTTAATCTCTGATCTAAAACAGACTGAGGGGAAACAGGCTACTTTTTCTTGAATTTTCACTGAATATTTAAAAACAGACTAGCCAAAGCAGTAATGCAATGTTGATTCTATAGGTCATATGAAGAACCATCCAGCTAGAATCGAGCTACAATCCACCTGCCTCACATAGACAAAACAGCTGCAAAATTTTCTTAAAGTGGCTTCAATGAAAATAGTGGACTTCAGATTTTCAGGGACACAAACAAATGATGCCTTCAGATTACCAGATGGTGGAATCTCAGCCTTCTTACTAAATTTCTTTTAGGCATTCTTCCAAATTAAATTTAGTATTCAATTTTTTGTGTGATTGCAATTAAATAGATACATAAGAAATAAAACATCTACAAATGGGCTACTTCAGTTATCATTTGCTCAAGCTCAATAACCATAATAAGGTGAATCCGAATTTTGAAACTTCATTGCTCTGTGACCTTGGGCATGTTTCTTATAATCTCTCTGAACCTATTTCCTCATGTATAAAAAAGTGATAACATCTCATTAAGATACCTACACAGTGTCAGGAACTAGAAGCTGTAGGCAATACAGTGTAGTTGAGCCTCTGCCTTCCTCATTTTGTTTCAATACAGAATCCAGTGTGGTACTATGGGCCCAAAGTGCCTAATGAGTCTGGGGTCATGCTTCCTGGCATCTGCTACAACCTTTGAAACTTGACAGCACGTACTTATTCAGCTATGGCTGCTCCAAGAACCTTTCCTGATTCTCCCTAATTCTTGGAAGAACCCTAGGAGGATCCTAGGGTATGTTTCTGAGCTTCTCTTAGTATCTGGGGAAGAGAAAATTAGAGAATCAGAGAAGTTAGAAAGTCCCAATGACCCAATGAGATATAAGGTCTCAGTTTTACAAGCCTGCTCTCACTGATGTCTCTGGTAAAAAGGGTACTTTTCCAAACTGAAAATGGATACCAGGTCTTGACTGCCAACACACATGGTCATCGGGGTTAATTGTGCATACAGACCTGTGCAAGTTATGTCACCAACGGTTACTCTGAAGGTGAAAGTGGGCACGTGTATTTGCACATCGGATCTTTCACATTCATAAACCGGGATGTTCTTGGTCTTCATGCCGTATTCGTGTAATACCTGAATTGGTGTTTTCCCTGGCTTAGCTGTAATCATCTTCCCCAAACTAGAAAAATCAGAAAAAGCTGTGCTTTGCATGTCAAAACGGGGAGGGAAGCAGCATACAGAGAATAGTTTTTAACAGCCACTAATGGTGACGCGGGAGACACCGAAGCTCCCCGTCGGCCAGGCGCGCGTCTCCGGGCGCAGCTGCGGCGGGCAGCCGGCAGCGGGCAGGGACGGGTAGGGTGAGGGAGGTCTTTATGGAGATAACCTGAATGC